TCGTGAATCTGATATTTCAGATCACTTTTGTATCTCTCTCTCTAAAAACCCTTTCCTCTCCCTTCTCTCTACATTTCCCTACGCCAAATTGGATCAAAACCTTGATTTCTCAAGATCCATTAGAGTTCTTCTATAGGTTCTTCATCAAAGTTGGTTAACTTTTCGAGAGCTTTGTTGTGTGCGGTGAAGATCGAGTTTCGACACTGTTAATTTTAGGGGTTTCATCTCATTTCTTCTTTGGCGTTGACTTTTGGCGACCAACTTATCTTTGGTCGCTAAAAGTTTACTTTTGGCTAATATGAATTGGACTTTCCGCGACCAAAAAAGTTGGTCGCGAATGGTCACTTTTAGCGACCAAAGGCTTTTTTGGTCGCAGAAAACTATCTGTGACGAGGCTTTAGCGACCAACTCGCGACCAACATATTTTGGTCGCGAAAAGGTTTTAGCGACCAAATATGGTACTTTTCGCGACCAAAATGTTGGTTACAGAAAGTGTTTTTTCTTGTAGTGATAGTTTTGGTGAGAAAACCTAGAATTTGGAAAAAAAAATTTAGAAGACTGAAAATCCATGAATGATATTGTTATATTTATTTTGTGTGTCAAAATAAATGGATGTTTGAAAATTTTCTTATTTATATTTGTATAAATGATGAATTTCAGGGAATATGAGGATTGTTGTTCATTTTGAAAATTATTGTTCAAAACATTGAAGTCTTGAAATAACAAATTGTTGAGGATACTTGATAAGAGGGAATTGTGTTATTCCTTGGTTGATCAATTGAAATAGAAGTATTTATATTCATCTTGTGAAATTGGCATATCAATTCATTTGATTACATTAAACTTTGAAAGTTGTTTTGAAAACTTGCATTGAGAAAAGAACGTTGAGAAACAAGTTTTTATGGAATGGTTTTGTGGTAAATACGTTGGTAAGTCTTGATAGGTGGTGTAGATGATATTGAATAAGTTGGCCTAAGAGTTCGGAGTGAAAGACTGAAAACCCGCGCGGATAGGTGTAGAGCCTTCCGATTAATACCGGTAAAAATGACAATTTGGTAGTACTTCCAGACACCGACCTAGGGATTACCAGAGTTGTATTTACAGCCCTTGAAATAAATTGTTAAGTTTTGAACAATTGAAATTGCATGATATCATTGAGTATGATGGTTTTCAAAAAATAAAAATGTGATTTATCTTCAAAAAGGGCATAGCATGGCATGTGTATTTCATCTCTTGAGACTTATATAAAATGAATATACTTTGTTAAAAATTTCCTACTGGGCTTTATGCTCACCCTACGGGGATTTTGTGCAAGAAAAGATGTGGTGATGCCATCCAACTAGGGGCGTGGAAGTATGTGTGTTGGAAGTACAATGCTCTCATTTTGTTGTATCTCTGTGTGTAAGTCAAGGGCTGTGTTTGTGTGGATTTGAATAACCGTATTGTGTAATCAGGCTCAAGCCTTGGAAACTTGTAAACCCTTATGGGTATTTATTTGCTTACTTACTTCTTGTTGGATTAATATATTGTTGCATGAAGAACTATTGTATCATGTAATGTAAATTTGGAGATTTATATTCGGTTTTCCTTGAAAGAGCCATGATTGTTGTATTATCATTTGGGCTAGAAATTTGGAGCGTTTCATACCAAATATTAGTTATTTTTTATTCAAAATGACTTCAATCCATCTGACTTATTATTTGTAATTTTTTATTTCAAATATTGATATTGGCAACTATTGCGGCTATTGGGCGACTTTCAAATCCTTTAAATTTGGCTATTTTTTAGGTCAACAATTTCTATTCTATAGCTATCTTTAATTGATGTCACAAATGAATTTCACATTAACTTCACAAACCATATGAGTGGCAGGAATGATTTTTTTGTACGGAGAATAAATTTCACCATTTAAGTAATTTTTATATGAGAGTTCTTTTGTGATTTATATATCTATATATATATATACACATGGAAGCGCCTTTAGGCATATGTGATTCACTAATATATATATATATATATATATGATCAATTCTATAATACACATTTAAAAAAAAAAAAAGTGTGTACTGTTTTGTGGTATTTGATTATGACTTATTGTAGTGTTAGTTATGATTTAGTTACGATCTTTTGAGTTTGATTATGAGAAATATTTGGTTATAATTCTTTGGATGTTAGTTATGATTTATTATGATTGATATTTTAGTTATGACTAAAGATGTTTGTTTATAAAACACTAATTTTTTATTTTTTATTTTTCTGATTATGACCGAAAGTAATTTATTTATGACACTGTGTGTAATAGAATATAGATTGAAGGATGAATATATAAGAGAGAAAAAAAAGATTATATTCAGTTCATGTAGATACACCTCACTAAAAACTTAAAAAGTCATGGGGAAGGTTCTCTCCAATCTAATATTGGACTAGAGGGTGGTGTTAGGCTATCCTGGGCTTTGTTTTGGGTTTATCTTAATGATCCAAATAGTTTAATGTGTACTACTCATCGATTACATTATTCTCACAAAAAATTACGTTTATCTAATAGCGATAGCCATTAGATGAGATAATATTTATGTCAACAAATTATTTTAGAAATTATATTACCATTGACGCAAATGTAATATGATCAAGTGGTTATTGATATATCCAATCAACGTATTTTTTTGATAAAAATGATATACTCATTAAATCTTACATATTAAATAGTTTGAATTATCGAGTTGAGCTCAAAATAAAGCTCAATCTGAGCCAACACTACCCTCCAATATGATATGAGACTAGAGAGGAGCCTCCCCAAAAGTTATATATGAGTTCAACTGTTACAACATGCACAAAAGTAGCAATGGCGGCATATGCATACCTGGGCTAGAGTTTTCCACCGTAGCAATCAATTCAAATGTTAAGATGCCCTCAAATAGGTAAAGAGTAGAGTTATAAAAACTTAATTTTAGTTTTATAATATAAATATTTTCATATATGTCAATGTTATATCATTCTAATTGAGAAATTAGCATTAAAACAATGTTTATTATTTTTCATTGCCAAAGGTGCATCAATGTAGACTCACTTAAAATTTTGTAGTACATTTCTTTTTATAGGCTGTCATATTTACTGGAAATGATTTTTAGCAAAAGATAATGGATCATGAAAACTTGGCCAAATTCCAAAACGTATCTTTCAAAAAAATTTAAAAGTGAGGAGTGTTTCAAAAAAAAAAGGTTAAATTTTTTTTTTTAATTCAAAAAAATAAAAAATAAAAAAAAGGTTAATTTAAAAGTGGTGGAGAACTATTCTCATCCAAATCTCCATCTTATCATGGTCCCCCATATAGTATCCAAACCTATGTCCTATTGCCACAAATTTTACAACCATTCATGCCAAAGCTTTCGGGAAGAAGATTTGTAATTCTTGTGGTGCCTCTAAGACCTTCAACTTTCAATTTAAAGTTGTAATTGAAACAGATTTTTCTAAAATCAACAGATATAAATATAAATCTTTCTATTTCACATGCAATTTCTCATCAAACACATATTAATTAGCACATAACAATGCAATCGGGGGAATAATTAAGCAAATGCATGTCCGGGTCGTTACATTATCTATTTTTTAGACAAATTTAATTCAATAATGCAACCACTAATATCGAATCAATTTAATTATCACATGTTCATTGACTTGGCAACTCTAAAAAATGAGTAATTTAAATCAACAAGATAAGCTTGAAGTGGGCCCAAATCTCATAAATTGGACTCTCTAGTCCAATTGTTGATTCACTATAAGAATTTACACATTTGGCGACCACTTTTGCCGACCAAAAAAATTTTGGTCGCAAAAAAATGACATTTGGCGACCAAATATTAATTAGTCGTGAATGATCATTATTTTTGGCGACCAAATATTATTGGTCGCAGAAGGTTATATTTTAGCGACCAAAAAATGAGTTGGTCATAAAAAGTGGTATGCTTTTGCCAACCAACTACAAATTTGGTAGCGGAAGGTCACATATTTTTTGGCGACCAAAATTTTGGTCACCAAAAACTTATTTTTAGCAACCAAAAAAAATTAATCGCCAAATTAGTACTTTTAGCGACTAATATTTTAGTCGCCGTTGATTGAGATTTGGCAACTAAAAAAATTTGTCGGCGAAGGTACTTTTTCTGCGACTAATGTGGTCTTTTGGTCGCCAAAAGTTTGGGAGGGAAATTTGATTTTTAGTGGGGTGGGAATTGAAATTTTTCTGCGACAAATAAATTTGGTCGCCAATTACAAAACGACGTCGTTTTAGACCATGGAAGCAGGAAAAAAAAAAAAAGAAAAAGAGCCCTAATCTCCATTGTCTCTATCTCGCTCTGTGTCTCGATCCGCCCTCTCCCTCTCTGTGTTCTTTCTCTCAATCGGTGCCCACTCTCTCTAGCTAACCGAAGTCCCTCACCACTGTTGCTCACATCCGTCGCACATCGCCACCGCCGCAAATCGCCATCGCCCTCTGTCTTTCTCTCACACAGAGGGAGCGATTGCTGGGTATTCGCTGCTGTGGTTGTTGCTGAGTATTCGCCAAAAGCATACGTATGCATACGGTACCGTGATTTTTGCACTCTCTATCGTCGGTTGAAGACATTGTTTACTGGGCAAGGCTGGATTCTTCCTTCTACCTAGTCCTCTGTCGAACGGGTATCCAGAAAGATTTTTGGGAATGTCTCTCCTGATGTTGTTGCAGAGAGAAGTGCCCTAATTCAAGAGTGTTTACGAACCATTCTGCATTGCTTCTTGGTATGATGGTCTCTGATCACACATTGCTTTGCATTGCTTACGATCCATTCTGCATTGCTTCCTTCACTAGCTTGGATTTTCATCCTTCTCATCACACATTGCTTCTTGGTATGATGGTCTCTGATCGATTATTAGTTGACATCTGCTAAATAAAAATACATCTTCTCTTCTTCTTGTTCTTCTTTCCTTTATTTGACATAGTCTCTTTAAAACAGTTGGTTCTGCTAGTGGTGAAATAACGCTTTGGGAGGTTGTGATGAAGGAGAAACTGCTTTCAAAGCCATTCAAGATATGGGACATGACAAATTGTTCATTGCCATTTCAGGTTCCCCTATTATCTTTCTATGGTGATTACATTTTTTATACGTTTTCTAATTAGAAAATTCTTTGTTATTTGTCTTAGATTTCTACAATGTTGTATATGTAACATATGAGATATATATGTAGGTTGTACGCTGTGTGTATGAATTAATTCTAACCAGATTTAGTGCATCCTAGTTTTGTGGACAGTAGTAATTTTAAAATGTTTATCAACTAGCTGCAGCTTAGTATTCATTTCTAGATCTTTCATTTGAAATCTTGAGAACATAGTCATAATTTGGAACTAAGGTTCCAATTGATGCTAACATTGTGTACACTGTGCTCCTTATGTGTTGGATACCCTCTAGCTATGAAGCACCAACACTTCAAAATGGGTGTCATGTCTGTGTTAGACAGGTATGGGACACAAACACGACAGGAACACACGTGTGTCAAGTCAATTTTTTTAATTAGTACTTTTTTGTAGGAATTTTGGGGATATTTCACAGAAACACATGTCTTGTGTGTGGACAAGCATCAAGACACCTTTGCGAGTTTTTTTTTTATTATATATATTCATATACACAGCTGATAGAAGTATATAATTTCCCCCCCATATCCCAACCGTGTTCGTATCCTCTTTTTTTAAAAATTGCCATGTCCTGTGTTTGTACCCGTGTTACCGTACCTGTATTCGTGTCCGTACTTCTTAGCCTTTCAGTGTCCTGCTTTCTTAGTTGAAACATGTTTTTTTGTCATGGGCTCTAACAATTAAGGGTGCAAACAGGCTTCCATTGTCAAAGATGAACAAGTATCTGTTACTCGTGTTACGTGGAGTCTAGACGAAAATTTTATAGGTACGTGCACTTTAAGTTCTGCTAGATTTCAGATTGTCCATGTGCACATTTCTTATTATTTTTCATGCTGCAGGGGTTGCCTTTACAAAGCATTTGATCCATTTGTATTCTTGCACTGGTGGGTCCAATGACTTGCACCAGCATTTAGAGGTGAGTTGGGACATTGCTTCCTGGCCAATAAGAAATAAAATCTGTAACTTCTAATTGGCTTTCCATTCCTTTGTGGTTACAGGTTGAAGCCCATAATGGTCAAGTTAATGACCTGGCTTTTGCTTATCCAAACAAACAGCTATGTGTAGTGACGTGCGGAGATGATAAGTTGATAAAGGTGCGTGGATTGTTTTTAGGAAATTTTTTGATAGGTTTATTTGTTTATTTGCTTCTTCACTGAAGGAAACATTTGAAACAGGTTTGGGATTTAACGGGCCGAAAGCTATTTAACTTTGAAGGGCACCCAGTGGATGTATATTCTGTATGTCCTCATCAGAAAGAGAATATTCAGGTATCTAAGATAAAGGGAAATAATTTGTTAGTTGGTAACCTATTTAGCATTTAATTGATTTATAGATGCAAGTTATTTAGCCTTAAACATGCCTAGAAGATGTATTTTGACATTTTTGTAAGGAAAAAAAATGAGGGGAAAAAAAAACGGTTAAAGAATTTGTTGGGTCTGATTTATTCTGATTGCCAAAATAACAACAAATCATGCATAGGTATTGATTTTTTCTTGTACTAAACATACTTGGAAATTGTATTCTGACATTTTCACCAAACAATAGGTAAAAGAGGTCGGAATTTGTCGTACCCAATAGTTTCAAGAATCATATGAATCGTTTAACATGAATCGAATTGTGAATCATGTGATTTACCATCGATTCTGTCCCAAAATAGATTCACATCGATCTATGCATGAATCATGAATTGAATTGTGAATCAAATCACGAATTGTAAGATATTGATAAGATAGGTACTATTTTCAACCACCATTTTACCTCTTAATTAATGGGAACAATAGGACGTTATTGCTGTTAGAGATAGACTTTTGTTTTGTGGAAGTTCATTTTTAAGCGGAGAACATGTTTTATTTACACAATGCTTTCAACTTGTACATTTGCAGTTTATATTCTTAACTGCTATTGATGGGAAAATCAAGGCCTGCTTTCCAGTTGGCCGAAATTATAGATCCTGCTCAATGCCAGCAGGTTACCATGCCAGACAGCATGGATGCAGTCAACAAGGTGTGTTCCTACTCATTTGTTGCTGCAGAATCTATCTATTCGATAATGCTCGACTGACACATCTACATCCAGGTTGCTCGACTACTCTATACAAATTCCGGTTTTGGTGTTTTGGCACTTGGGTCTAATGGGATTCAGAAGTTATGGAAGTGGACACGCAGTGAACAAAATCCAGGTGGAAAGGTAATAGCCAGTTGGGAGTAATTTCATTTGCATGTTTTCCTGTTTCTTTTCTTTTATTAGTCGATATTTGTGGAGGAGAATTCTGAACTTGGTGAGGGTCTAAAGGCCACTGCCAATGTTGTTCCACAGCAATGGCAGTGGCAGCCAATGTTGTTCCACAGAAAGGCAATTGTGTTGGTTCTTTAGCTTAAAATGTGTGCAAAGCATATAAGCTCATTATCTGTTTGTATATATGCTTCAAAGAATTGTGACAGTTGCATACTGAGGTGAAATGCAGGGTATGCTCAACTTTATTTAGTCAACACTTGATTTCAATTACTCGATTGTGTTAATCTTTACCCATTATGTTGTTGTGAAATGTATCAACAAACTGCATTGCCACTGTAATCGATTTTGTGTGTCTTTAATCGATTTTGCATTTCCAATCGTTGCATAAGAAGCTTATTGTTTTCACTATTTGCATCCTGTGCTAATTATGGTAGATGTATGAATCAGATTCTACAGAATCTGACTAACACGCAGGTGCTAATCTTAAACCATATATCACGCATCCACTATTTGAGTCTTGCTTCATGTCTTACATTGTCTCTCCTGTTGTGTAGTCTTCGTTCTTATTATTTATTTCCATATTAAAGTT